TGTGTGTGTGTGTGTGTGTGTGTGTGTGTGTGTGTGTGTGTGTGTGTTTTGAATACATATATGTATTTCAATTAAATACAGCATTTATTGAATTTTTACCAGATACCACATGTGGAGATAACTTCACATGATTTAAATGCTTATAATAACAGATGGAGTAACAAATTTATGTCTATGTAAAAGATAGATAAATTGAGGTCGAGTTTGAATTTGTGTAATTCATCCTGTTATGTAGAACTTAAAACTATCCTATGATGTCACAACCTTTGGAAGATAATTTAAAATACTTAAAATTTGTTAAATCCATTGAGCAAAACCATTATTTGTGAAAGAACCCACATTTCAGAAGTGATATTCATTCTTTTGTCTTTAAGGCCAGAGATGTGATAATTAACTGCAGCTTTTCAAGATAGAAAGTGTTAAGTGTTGATGTATTCTAGGAACAGGAGAAAAACATGAATAGGACATTGTCCTTTGGAAATTTTTATAGTGTAAACCTTCAGGGAGTTACTTCTAGAAATATGGGTACCTTTGCTTAGGATGTGGTATACTGTGTTCCTGGGGATGGAGGCACCGATCAAAGTTCAAAGAGAAATGGCCGGTGAAAAGAGGATCACTAAATGGAAGAAGCTAAGTTTGGCATAGAGCTGGTGACAGACAATGTGAAGACTGAAATACTGCCAATAGCAGGGAAAAGGTCCATGGTAGTATCTTAGCAAAGAAACAATTGCACACTTACCTAGATTTAAAGGTTAAAACCTCCTGTTAGAATATTTTTCCAGTGTAATTTATGACCATATGGTCTGGATCCTACAAAGTCTCCCCCATTCTACAAAATCTGTTCTTAGTTTTCTGCCTCCATTGTATTCATTCATTCTAACCATTTTCTAAAGATGGTACTTTGTTTCTCGTGAATGCAATCCCTTAGCAGTTTGCAGCTGTTGCTGAAACTGGTTAAAATGGTAATCGTGGGGGACGGTGACATAAATGTTGCTTTACTATGCTATGGCAGTTATTGAAGTAGTTTATAATTTTGACTGTTATGTAAGGAGTGCACTGTGCCATTCTAACTTTGTATTTTTGTATTCTGCTATTTGGGGGGTTGGAAATTGTATGAGATTCTTTCAGTTGGATCTCTGACATGTTGAGAATACCGAAGAAGAAAATGAGTACAGCAGGAGATAGCAGAGATGGGGGAAGCCGCATCTCTCAAATAGAATACCACTGGATAGTGAGCAGTGAACAACCTCTGATTTTGTCTGAGACCATTTTGGAATTTTTGGACACAGTCTTCTGAAGATTGAGAGACCTAATCACTGTTGGTAAGATTATTAAAATATTATTAATACAAATGAATGCTTAGGGTTGCCACTAAAGCTCATCTTTACAATAGATAGTGTTAACAAACAGAAACAACAGGATTTGGAAAATCGGTATTTGGAAATAATCATAATTTTTTCAGCCAGGAATCATCAAATGATGCTAAAACTTAGAGAAAATTTTAAGAGAAACAGGACACTTAGATATTGTGCAATTTCAGATCTTTATCAGTTACAAAATGAGGAGTAGCTTTCTGATGGAGAACATGGTTGACGGCACCTGAATTAAAGAGGTGAAAGTTACTAACACCAGTAGTGGAAACATCAGGGAGCACTGATAGGATGCAGTGAGAACACAGCCGCCTTATTTCTGTAGTATTACTGAGTTAAATGCATAAACCTGAGTATGCCCATGAGGAAACATTAGTCTCAAATTGACTGATATTCTGCTTTTCATACTCAAACATAGGAATTTCACTGAGGAAATGGTCCAGATTATTTCAGACTAAATAGACATGAGAACAGAATATAACATTGATTCAAGATGATTGTAAAAGGACATGAAAGGGAAAGTTGGCAAAGTTTTAAGACAGTCCCTCAAATAGGTTATAGTGTTACGTGAATATTAAATTGCCTAAGTTGGGTACTGATACTGAGGTTACTAACAGAAAATCCTTGCTTTTAAGAAATAAAAATAATTTAAAAGATATAGGGATAATTCATAGCGGTAATTTTCAAAGTGTTTGGATAAAATAATGTGATACATGTTTCAAAAAATTAAGAGAAAAATGAAACTGGTATTGTAAGATTAACATCTTACAATAGGAAATCTAGTTGAAAATTAGCGAAGAATTATAGATACTTTTGTATCTGCTCAGTAAGTCTGAAATTCGTTGATGAAAATAACGCAAAAGAACATGTGAAATGGAGTGGTTTGAGCATATAGCTTCGAGCATAATAAATGCTGAGGCAACATGAAAGTGTAATAAATGCATGATTACTACTATACCAGCAGGCCTTGTAGATGCCCACATTTGAAGCATTTATATTAGAAGGAAGCTGTTTTACCTGGAATTTTTTTCACTTAGCCTAATGTTGTCAAGGTTCAGCCATGTTGCAGCATGTATGAGATCTCCATTCTTTTTGATGGAGGAGTGATTATAAATATGTCACATTTTTCTTTTCCATTCATCAGTTTTTGGCTATTATGACTAATCCTGCTGGGAATATTTATGTGGAGGTTTTTGTGTACTCATGTTTTCAATTCTCTTACTAGAATATAGTAACTAGGTTTATTTAACATTTGAGGACCTGTCTGTAAGTAATGCTTAAGATAATTTTTGCTGTATTTGAAGGCAGATAATAGTTTGTGCAAAATGTGTATTCTGTTTAATATTGGTGTGAGCTATTCTTATTGTAAAAAAAATTACACTGAAATAGTATATAGATTAGGTCTTCGTTTTTGTACTCAATAAGCAGTTTTATGTTTTATTTTTCAGATACTCTCCCATACTAAATTCAGGCTGGGATATTAGAGAAAAGGAAAAATATGAAACTCACTGTTGTTTTATGGCCCTTTGAGTTCCCCAGTTCACCTTCAAAAATTTAGTCTTCCAAGTTCTCTGCTAGCATATCAATGCATCCCTCCTGGGGATTTTCTGGTTGTATAAAGATGGACCATGCTTACTCCATGTTACGTCTCTTATGTCTTTTTTTTTTTGAGACGGAGTTTCGCTCTTGTTACCCAGGCTGGAGTGCAATGGTGCGATCTCGGCTCACCGCAACCTCCGCCTCCTGGGTTCAGGCAATTCTCCTGCCTCAGCCTCCTGAGTAGCTGGGATTACAGGCACGCGCCACCATGCCCAGCTGATTTTTTGTATTTTTAGTAGAGACGGGGTTTCACCATGTTGACCAGGATGGTCTCGATCTCTTGACCTCGTGATCCACCCGCCTCGGCCTCCCAAAGTGCTGGGATTACAGGCGTGAGCCACCGCGCCCGGCCTACGTCTCTTATGTCTTACAATGGCAGTATCCTATTCCATTTTGTTCTTTTTCGTCGTGTCCATTTTGATTGATTGATTGAGGCAGAGTTTTGCTCTTGTTGCCCAGGCTGGAGTGGTATGGTGCGATCTTGGCTCACTGCAACGTCCCTCTCCTGGGTTGAAGCAAGAAGCGATTCTCCTGCCTCAGCCTCCTCAGTAGCTGGGATTACAGGCATCTGCCACCACACCCAACTAATTTTAGTAGAGAGGGGGTTTCTCCATCTTGATCAGGCTGGTCTGGAACCCCTGAACTCAGGTGACCTGCCCACCTCGGCCTCGGAAAGTCCTGGGATTACAGGTGTGAGCCACCATGATCCACCTGATTTTCATTTATTTTATGAAAATTTTCATCTTTTTTCTGTTCTTGCCATCTTTGATTTTTATATAACATTTTGAAATAGATTTCAAAATTTTAAGTACATGCACACACACACGGAAAGAGAGAGACAGGGAGAAAGAGAGACTTCTATTGTTCTATTGAAGTAGATTCCTAAAGTTTTTATTTCTTCTAGAATATTGGTTTCACAACACCCCTATCCTGTACCTTTAATTTTACCTACCCCAGGGCATTTTAATGAAGTCTTTATCTGGCGGAATACAACTTCAGAATCTCTGATTTACATAGGGTGGTAGAGAAGTAAATTTGTTTGTTTGTTTGTTTGTTTGTTTGTTTGCTTAGAGAAGGAGTCTCACTCTGTTGGCCCAGGCTGGAGTGCAGTGGCGTGATCTCACTGCACCCTGCACCTCCAAGGTTCAAGCTATTCTCCTCCCTCAACCTCCCAAGTAGCTGGGATTATAGGTATGTGCCACCACAGCCAGAAATACAGGTATGTATTTTTAGTAGAGACTGGGTTTCACCATGTTGACCAGGCTGGTCTTGAACTCCTGACCTCAGGTAATGCACCTGCCAACTTTTTTTACTATTTAAAGAATGAAGAATTTTACCAGGGTGTGGTGGCTCACACCTATAATCCCAGCACTTTTGGAGACTGAGGTGGGCAGCTCACTTGAGGGCAGGAGTTTAAGAGCAGCCTGGCCACATGACAAAATCCCATCTCTACTAAAAATACAAAAATTAACCAGTGTGATGCACACACTTGTAGTCCCAGCTACTTGGGAGACTTAACCAGGAGAATCATTGGAACTGGAGACGGGAAGGCTGCAGTGAGCTGAAATTGCAACACTGCGTTCCAGCCTGGGTGACAGAGCTAGACTCCATCTCAAAAATAAAGATTTGGGGGAGGAAATGAATAAATAGCAAAGGTGACAAAGGACCAAAGATTTGTGACTTGTGCAAAGATGGCTCTGTGGTTATTGTTACAGAAATAATGTTTGTATCTTATTTTTTAGTGTATTTTGTATATTTTCTAATCTGATGTATTTTCTTTTTGATAGTTTGCTGCAGGTCTAGAAGATGTTACAGAACTTCAAGCAAGAGAGGTGAGCAGCTACTGTGGTGCTTTTGAAATTGTTTATGTGTGTTGTGGCCAGTGATGCCAGAACTTCAGCATCTGAGAGTTCATGATTTTAGAGGCTCAAAGGAG